TTCAAAATTTGTTCACAAATATTCATTTTCAATTTTGCTAAAAATAAAAAAAGAAGGCAGCGTTTTTTAAACGTTGCAAAAGACCTCTTTTGCAGAGTTTAAAAAACGTTGCAAAAGAGGTCTTTTGCAACGTTTAAAAAATGCTGCAAAAGACTTTTTTGCAACGTTTTTTAAACGTTGCCGTATCTCTTCCCTCTTAGGCAACACTGAACTTTACAACACATGCTGAAACGTTGCTAAAAGCCTTTTGCAGCGTTTTTTGGCCACTGCAAAATGCCTTTTTTGGCGTAGTGTCAAAGAATCTAAAAGTGAACTTTATTAAACAGCATCACTGTTAACAATGTTACAAGAAAATAGGAACTTGATTAAACCATTCGGTGTTTTGCATAGATAAGAACCCATGTTTAGCCAAATCATGCGCTGCGTTGTTTGCTTCCCTCCATATGAGTAAAACTGTTACGAAAGATGTCTTCAGTGCCAAGATTCCCATTAAGATGGCTCCTTCCAGGGCATGAAATCTTGGTCGATGTACACCTGTAATCGCATTGCTACGACAATCATGCTACAAGTACAGAGAATTTTTACAGACAACAAATGACGAGGATTCATTGGAGGATGGAAAAAAAAACAGACGAATCAGATGTTGCCACGATAGCATTTGTAGAAATTTTGTTAAGAATTTCCTATGCTTGGAGATTTTTCCTTTCTACAATCAGATTCCACAATAGAAATGAGTAGTCCTCGGTCGAAAGCAAATTTTAGCCATTCCCACATCGGCCACGCATTCCCCAACAAACGATTAAACATGACTTGGTATAATCTTCCAAAAAACAGCCACCATTTCACATTGTCCATTTATGTAAATTGCGCCAATCCCATAGGTTCCATGTCCTGATGTTACTAGAGTTGGACAAAACTCTCGAACCGAATCGGACCAGACCCGAACCGAACCAAACCGAACCGAACGATTCTTCTTAAATTAATTACTCGAACAGGTATCTGAATCGAGAACCGACGGGTTCAGTTCGGTTCTCGATTCTAAACCAAGAACAGAATAGGAACTGAATCTCCCTAATTTTTTTATCTTAAATAAATCAAATTATTTTATTTTTTTAAATAAATTGCCAACTAATTAATTTAGTCAAAATCCACAATATAATTTTACTATTTCTAATTTTCAGTCATACCCTACTTAATCAAATTGACCTAAATTTTTCTTAAATCTCTTATTCTATCGTAATGTCTTTTTACCGTTCTATTATTGTGAATTGGCTATCTTATTCTTCCTATGATTTTAATAATCAAATCTATGAAGAACTCAACAAAGAGATGTGCAAAAAATATCACGAGATTAGACTACGTTATTTTGTAAAATTGAATATGTCGAAGTCGAATTAATGTAGCGTTGTTGTAATATAAAAAAATTAATTATTGTACGAAATCTCGGAACCGAACCGAATCGAATGGAACTGAACCAAACCGAACGGTTCCATTATTAAATTTAGACCCGACGGTTCCATTTACTAAATACCTGAAAATTTCGGGTTTGGTTCGATTCTCGGACCATGTCCATCCCTAGATGCTAGCGATGCATCAACATTCAATTTCAAGGTTTCTCGATGGGTGTTTTGTATGCTAATATGATAGCATAAAAAGTAATATAGCGCACTTATGAATTCGAATGATCGTTTCCACAAGAACTATTATTTACAGGGTGTTTAGTGAGGATTAAAATTAGATTTTTAGTGGATTATGATGGAAGTTTTTGAAATGTGTGGTTGAAAAGATGTGAGACTCATGAAAGATGTGATTAATATTGATTGTTTGAATTTAACTTAGATTAAAATCAGATTTTAATCCGGCCCAAATAGGCCCTTAATTTCTAATTTAATTAACCTATCATTTGGTATTCCGTTTTTATCTAAATTTGGGTATCATGGGGATTTATACGTAACTACCAATTAAAAAAACTTTTAAATAAAAGTAAATATAAAATAAAATAAAATTTTATCAAATTATATGGTAACATTCTATATGCATTAAATATATTATTTAATTGTTAGGATATGTGAGAAACAACCAAATGAAATAGCCATTCAAATCATAGAATATTGATACTATTTTTTTAAACTAACTAATTCAACCGAGGGAAGATAGTAAAGATCGAAAAGAACATATGAAACATTTAGAGATAATTTTAAATAAATTTATAGAAAATAGTTTAATTATAAGTAAAAATAAAATGAAAATAAATAAACAAAAAATTGAATTATTAAGAGTAATTTTAGAAGAAGGAAAGATCCAATTACAACCACATATAGTATAGACAACTATGCAGTTTTAGATAAAATAGAAGAAACTAACCAATTTTTTTTAGGAATTTTAAATTATGTTGGACAATTTATTAAAGATTTAGGAAAGAAAGTATGACCACTGTATAGCAAGCTATTTAGTAAAGGACAAATTTTTTTTAATCAGTTAGATATGGAGTTAGTTAAAAAGATAGGTTAAAATTTTACCACCTTTAGAATTATCCTTAGACAATGAATATAAAATAATAGAAATAAATGGATGTGAATTATGATGTGGAGGATTTTTTATATTCTAAACCAAATAAATATTGTGATAGGAAGAAAGAAAAGATTTGTAAATATGCTAGTGAAAAATATAAGATAAAAGAAAAATATTTGACTAGTCTAAATTACGACATAATGGCTATTATTCATAGTGTAGAAAGCTTTAAGCTATTTCTAACTACTGATTTTACTATTAGAACATATTTATTAGAACATATTGTAAAGTCATAGTAAAATTTATAAAAAATACAATTTTTGATAAAATAAGAAATCAAAAATGGCTAAAGTTATATGTAATATTGAATAGCTATAAAATTAATATAGAACATATAGACGGGAAAAATAATATTTTAGCAGATAATTTAAGTAGACAAGTTATTAATTTTCTAACAAATTATTTTCATAATGCAAATGGATCAGAGGATGAAGAACTTTGGGAATGTCATTCTAAGAGTGGCCCCATAGGGATCTAATCTCTGATTCAAATGAAATAATTTAGAAAGAATTTCAGAAAGGGAGCGTTGTCTATTGGATAATCTCTGAATGACACGTGACTCTAAAAAAAACTATACAACATTAATGTTTTAGCTAATCATTTCAGACAAATTCACAATCAAGTAGAAAGTATAAATTTTAGTTTATTTGTAGTAATTAAAGGTAGAAAGTCTGGTATATATAATTATTGACCAGAAGTATTATAACAAGTAGAAAGATTTCAAGACCTCTTTTTCAAATGATTTTATACATTAGAAAAAGTTTTAAATTTGTGTAGAGAAATTATAGGATTTAATTTTTATATATCTGAAAGAATTAGACAGACTATGACTACACAAACCTCCTCTTCTCAACCAACATCTTCATCCTCGTCAATACAAACCAAAGTTGTGAGAGACCTAAATCGTAGAAAGCATTCATCAGAAGAAATACTATAAATTCACTAGTTGCTATTGTTTTGTCTACACACTATTTGGAGTTGATCCATATTATTACTTTTTTTTTTTTTATCGTAAGTGTACGATATCGTAACAAATAATATAGTGAACCTTTAGGTCTGGATTATCGATCCTATGAGGACTTTTCTTTAAAACTTAATCAAAATTTTTAACTCAAATATGATGAAACCAAACAAAGAATTATATGTTGTTGTGAATATTTGGTTTAAACACTTGAAATAATTAAAATATGCACAAAGATTGATTGAGAATTCAAATAATGGACAGATATTAGGGTAGAATAACTTCACATATTGATCACCTTTAAGTTTTAATTCAAGATTCAAAAGTCTAATGTAGTGTTTGATCGAATTCTTCTATTATATTCAATTTATTCATCTCGAGTTCTCATTGAGACTTTTAACTAATTCAATCCCACATCTCTATTCAAAACCTTGCACCCAACACCCAAAAAATGCAAGAGAATGAAAGATCGAGAGCTTAGACAGAACACAAGAAGAAAGCAATGATCGAAAGTTGAGAGCATAAATGGCGCTAGGATTACAAAAATGGCTTCTTCCTAAGCGATCTTCCTTTTATGGGTAAAGCAAATGAATTAAAAACAAATGGGGAGACCTTGCACCACGACGTTTGATTGCATGTGAAAATGGAGAGGAGAATAGTGTGTGTAAGAGAGAGAGAGAATTGCGTGTGAAAATGGAGAAAAGTGTGTAAGGGAGAGAGTGAAATTGGAAAAGAATAAAATAAAATAAAAAATGAAGGGTGACGATAGAAAATTTCGACACGCGTCCAGTATGAATAGTACCAAGAGTTGGCCTCTTTTATATTATAGGGATAGGGATTGGGAAAAATTCATAAATAATATGTATACTTTACACCAATTCAAAAATCAGGTTTATAGTTTGAAAATTCAAAAATCAGGTTTTTTATTTATGAAATGATAAATTATT